TTTCATCCACCGTCATTTGCTTCTGAGTGTTTCCTCTTTCTAGCCCACTTCCAGTCCTCCGTCTCATTTTCTCTCCTTCCCTTCTCCCCTCCTCCTCTCTCCCTTTCCCCCTTCTCCTTTCCTATTTTCTTCCCTCTCCATTTCTGTCCCCTCAGTTCTGAGTGTGGAACTCTGGACCTTCTGCCTGGAAAGAAGCAGCTCCACCATTCACTCTCCAGTGTTGTTTGAGTCAGTCCTAGAAGTTTGGTGCTCCACTTGGCAGCAGTTATAAATTATAGGAGAGTTTTAAGAGACTGATACCCAGGTCTTGCCCTAGGAAAACCTGATTTATTTAGCATAGATGTCAGTCTGGGCCTTAGTGGTTTTGAAAATTCTCCGTGTGAGTCAAAGCAGGCTAACATCACATAAGACCCTGAGAATGTAGCTACTCTGCCGGCATGTGGTTGAAGTTAATATCCACACCTGGCTTCTAAGGGGAGGAAACCAGGAAGCAGATGAAGCTGTAAATGATTGTGTCCAATGACAAAGGGTTAGGGTTAGGACATGGACTTCTTCACAGCCCCCACTCAGTAGAAAGCTATGAAACAAATAATGCATTTGAAAGGCCTGGCATCTGCATCTACTTTGAAGCTAACCTCCAAAGTGGCCATATTTTCAGCAATTAAGCTGCTCTTGCAGAGGACCCAGGTTCAATTTTCAACATCCACATGGTAGCTCTGTAACTTAAGGCCCAGGGAATCCTATTTGATGCCCTCTTCTGGCCTTTCTGGGTACAGACATAGATGTAGGCAAATCGCATACACACACACACACACACACACACACACACACACACACACACACACACCCCGTCATCAGTTCTACAGAACTTTCTATATCCACTATTTGAATGAGATTCATCTTATTCTTTGCTAAAAAAAATACTGTAAGGTTTACTGGATGGTTTTTGTGTTTATCCTTTTAACTACTTAGAAATAGCTGTTCTGCTTAAAGACGACTTTGGGGGCAAACTTCAATAATAAACTGGGTATAAGTTCCTGTACTTACATTCTGTGCCAGCTACTGTACTATGCAGCGTGTAGCCTGATGAGTTAAGAGTTTATTTTCTCTGATTTTTCAAAGAGGAAGTTGGGGTTTCAGTTAAGCAATTGCCCGAATGTTTAGTAGTAGAGCAGAAAGTTTGAAGTTAGTCTGACTCCACAGCCTGTTTTCTTAAGGCAGTTCTCTGTGAGATAACTGGGTGTGCCCTGGAGAATTTGGAACCACTGACCAAGAGAGTGAGAGAGTGAGCGAGAGAGAGTGCAGGTATGTTAGGAGCTGAAGGACATAAGCACTTTTCAGTCCTGGAATGAAGTCAGTAAGGCTCGAGGAGTGAATTACTGGCTTCTTCAAGTATTTTTGTTTTTCTTATTTTTTAAATTGTTTTATTTATTTTGTGTATTTATGTACATACATGTGTTCGATCATGTCTGGATACTACAGTATGCTCCTGAACATCAGAGAACAACTTGAGAGTAGTTTTTCTTCTACCATGTGGCTTCTAGGAATTGAACTCAGGGTGTCAGGCTTGGCATTGGGGTGCCCTTGCCTTCGGAGTCATCTCAGCAGCCCCTCTCACTTTTTGTTTTGTTTTTTCAAGGCAGGGTTTCTCTGTCTTTGGAGGCTGTACTGGAACTCACTCTGTAGACCAGCCTGGCCTCAAACTCACAGATCCACCTGCCTCTGCCTCCTGAGTGCTGAGATTAAAGGTGTGCGCCACCAATGCCCAGTTTACAAAGATATTTTTTATTTGTTAATTAGAAAAGGAGGAGGGGTGTCACTGGGCGTTGGTGGGGCATGCCTTTAATCCCAGCATTCAGGAGGCAGAGGCAGGGGGGTCTTTGTGAGTTGGGGACCAGCCTGATCTACAAGGGGTAGTTCCAGGACACCTCCAAAGCCACAGAGAAAACCTGTCTCGAAAAGCCAAAAAAATAAAAAATTTTAAAAATATCTTTGTAAAAGAAACATTATGTAAGCAGGAATATTTTGCTGTCATTGTTGGTATTACCACATGTAACAAACTGAAGGAATGAGTTTTGAAACCTATTCAATGGTGCAACATGGACCTAGCATCTTAACTTCTAAAGACATAGCTTCTGTGCTGTTTTGATTAGCTCCCTTCCCTACTAGTCCCATATTACCTAGTAATAAATATTTGTGGGAATCAATCTTGCTTAAATGCTCACATTTGCCTGATAATGTGTTTGTAAAAATACTAGCAGTGTTTGTCAAAGGTATTTAAACATGGGCTGGAGAGATGGCTCAGCAGTTAAGAGCATTGACAGCTCTTCCAGAAGAAGTAGTTTCAATTCCCAGCAACCACATGGCAGCTCCCAACTGTCTGACTAAAGTTCCAGGGGCTCTAACACCCTTACACAGGGAGAAACCAATGCACATGAAAGTATAAAAATAAAAAGAATGTTCTTTTTTTTTTTTTTTTTTTTTTTTTTTTTTTTTTTTTAGCTTTGGAGCCTATCCTGGCACTCGCTCTGGTGACCAGGCTGGCCTCGAACTCACAGAGATCCGCCTGCCTCTGCCTCCTGAGTGCTGGGATTAAAGGCGTGCAACACCAATGCCTGGCTCTAAAAAGAATGTTCTTAAAAAAGGTATTTAGGGCTGGAGAGATGGCTCAGACAGATGGCTCAGACGTTAAGAGCACTGGCTGCTCTTCCAGAGGTCCTGAGTTCAATTCCCAGCAACCACATGGTGGCTCACAACCATCTGTAGCAGGATCATGCAGACAGGGTACTTATATATGTAAAATAAATAAATAAATAAATCTAAAAAATTAAAAAAAAAGATAATTTAACCTGTTTAGATAAACAGATTTATTATAAGCCCATCTTTAACTGGGATATTTCTGATATTTCAAAGTTTTGGTCATGTAAATGTTTGTTAAGAATATGTTCAACTAACTTTCACGTGGGTGCTGAGTCACCGACTCAGGTCTTTCCTCTCCTTATTTTCCTGAGTGGTCCTGTAGCCAGTGGAAGAGCAGAAGCAGGGAGGGATTTACCTGGTCTGGTAGGTGGAGCAAGTGGCACAGAGATACTGGTAAGGATGGCTTCCAAGTAAGAGGACAGATCAGGGTGGGAGGTTAGTTAGGCTCAGCACAGGGAAGAAGATGTTCCTACAAAGATTAGCCCAGCCCTGGTCTCAGAACTGAGCAAGGTGACAAGGGCTACTGAATGGGCAAGTAGACAGGTAATGTCTCACCCATGCTCCAGGGCAGACCAGCACAGAAGGTCAAGCCTGAGTGGGTAAGGAGAATGACTCTGGGGTTGGGGGTGGGGACAGACATGGCAGCTGCAGTGGGATGTTAGTTGTATGCACAGGAATTGATCAAATAAGGACATCTTATCAAGAAAAGCAGGATGCAGGTTTTCCATTAGGGAAGAAGAAAATAAGGATGGGGGGCAGGGAGAAACCTTTGTGATGTTATCAGTGTGAATTCATGACTATAAATCTGTCTCTTCATGTCACATATGTACAAATACTTGTATTCTATATAATGTGCATATTCCATATGTGTGTATTTCATGTTGCAAGTGTGTTGTGTGTTTGAGTTTGCGTACACATAATTGGTAGCTCTGTCCACTGATTTCTAAGCAGTAAGTATACTTAACACCTAGATGTTGGCTTCCAGGACTATTCTTTTTAATAATATTGGAGGAATGGCAGATTTCTCCAGTGAGTAGAGAGGTGTGTAAACCTGGGACATCCTCCACCAGAAAATACTCCAAGAATGTTGAGCCATGTCTGACAGAGTCAGGAGCCAGTTTAAGGTTGTTCACACGGAACAGATCTGGGAAAAAAACCTGAGCATCTGAATAAATAATAGTACTAGATGACAATAAATTGAAACAGACCACTAATTTGATTAATTTTTATTAGTCTGTACTCATGAATTTATATATCATTTAGCTATAATCCATCAGTACAGTACTCAGGAGATTGATGCAAGAGGATCATAAGCACAAGGCCAGCCTAGGCTACATAGCATCATCATCAAGGGTGTGGCATGAGCTGACCATGTAGAAATGGCAGCTTCCCTATTTCAGTGCAGCCTGGGATGATGTGGGATATCTCCATTGCAAGGGAACACTCAGTAATGCCTTAGAGAGGCTTGTTTTTAATCACGTCAGTAATGCCCCGTCCACATAGATCAGAGGAGAAATGCCAGGCTTAAAAATTTCATATAAACCTGAGATTGTTTGAAGAAAAACAGCTCAGCTTTTTCAGAGAAAGCTTCATTGACCATGGGGCTCCATTAAAACAGTAGCTGAGAACTGGTCACCAGTGTGTTTCGCTCCATTTTGAAATTTATGTGTACGTGTGTGCCTGTGTGTGTTTATATGTACCATTAGGTGCGGGTGGAGGCCAGACAGGTGAGTTGTATTCCTTGGAACTTGAGCTACAGGTGTTTGTGAGCCACTTGGTGTACATGCTAGGAACTGAGCCCAGGTCCTCTGCAGGAGCAGTAAGTGAGTGATCTTAACTGTTGAGTTGTCCCTCCACCTCCTGGTACTTTTTCTAAAGAACATGTCCTTAAACAGAAATAGTTAAGTGTGTGCCAAGGCTTGCTTTCTTGTAATTCCTTGAAGCTTCTCTTGTGCTTCTGGCTTCTCCTATTTTGCAATAAAAAGGACAAACTTGTGACTAAGCAACTTAGCACACATCCTCTAACATAGACGGGAAAGAAAAGGATCTTTTGCAATATTTTGTTAAAAATAAATTCCTCAAGGTACCGTCATCATTCAGATGAAATAATATCTCTTTAATGTTATTATAGGAATGAGAGACATTAACTTTAAAGATGGTGTTGTTTGTTTTATTGAATACATTTTTTTCCTGTTTTTAAAGTTATTGAGGTTAGCCTAACTAATGTATCCCTCCTAACCCTCCTAGTCCCCAAACAGAGTCTTTTCTGTTTTGTTTTGTTTGAGGGAGGGTTTTATACATATGTGGTTGGTTTTAGACTCACTGTGTAGCCAAGGATGAATTTGAATTCCTCATCCCCTGGCCATCCCTTCCCAAGTGCTGAGATTACAGATGTTACCATCACATCCAGCCCAAGATATAATCTTTTTTTTGGCTTTTCAGTTACACAAGTTAAGAACCTGATAGGGAATTTTGATTTTTCTTAACACTCAAAATACCTTTGTTGTATATCTAGGGGCAAGGAGCAAGCTATAGCTGGTTTCTTGTTTCACACTTCAGTGATCCACCTGGCAATGAGTATTCTTCTTAAAACCATCCTCAGAGTAGACCCAGGGCAGGGGGCTGTTAGTCACCCGTGAATGCTGGCCTGATGTCTGTGCTTTGAAATATTTGTGTGTAAACTGTATACAACAGGACCTTGGGGTTACAGGGATCTTTGGAGGTTACAAAAAGTAGCCATACTGAATCGAGAAAAGGAGGGTGGAGAATGTGTCTACTCAGACCAAGCTTTCTTAGTCTTTATGTCATTTACTTTTTGGTCTGAATAATGCTTGGTGTTGGGGTTGTTCTTATGGGATGCTTTAGGAGGTCATGTAAAAGTACACACTGTGCTTATTATTAGTTTTATTTTTTAAAACTCAATGATAAATGGCCTTCCTGTCCAATAATTCTCATATTATCTGAAATATGTTAGTTACCTGCCTAGAATGTTGTCTTGACTCTTAAAAGTTGACTTATATATGATTCTGTCAGGGCAACTTTTCTACATTTTCTTGACAGCTCTTTATTTTCTTTGCAAACTCCAGAATATGTCCACAGTTCCAAGCATCCTGACACACTATGGCACACCACTCTGCTTCTTTTCCTTCTACTACAGTTATAAAAGGGAATGGGAATACTAGATGTCTAGAACCCAGAAATGTAACTCTAAATGCATTGTTCGTGAGCAAGATTTCACCTGGTAATAAGATGTCTTAAACTGTAGGTAAGCCATAATACATGTGGCTGTTTACCTCCATGATGAAATACACTGATTTTCACACTTAGGATTTACCATTAGTATATCTTACCTGTTCCTAAGTTGTAGTGTTCTTATAATTGTAATATTATGTGTCAGAATTTTTTTTTCCTGGTTTTTCGAGGCGGAGTTTCTCTGTGGCTTTGGAGGCTGTTCTGAGGCTAGCCCTTGTAAACCAGGCTAGTCTCAAAGTCACTTTTACTATTTTCGCGTCTCCTCATCTGCTTGTATATTCATAGCATTTGTTCATGCTGCTTCTTAAAGGAATTCTTTTGCATGTTCAGTGGAAAGTAGAGCCTGATAAAGATTGATGCTTTAGCCTGGCGTTGGTGGTGCACACCTTTAATCCCAACACTCAGGAGGCAGAGGCAGTTCGATCTCTTGAGTTCGAGGCCAGCCTGATCTACAGAGTGAGTTCCAGGTCAGCCAGGACTACATGGAGAAACCCTGTCTTAAAAAAATCAGAATAAAACAATAAAATAAAAAGATTAATGCTTTAACGAAGATGTGGCATTAGCTTCAGCTAGTGTCAGGTTTACAGATCTTTGAGCTTACTTTTAGTACAAATTGTTAGTTAGAAATGGCCAAAACAGTATATTCTGGCTTTTTCCGGATTCTCTTGCATCAGATGTCTTGTTTCTCTTTATCTTATTCTTTCAGCTACTATGAGCTGGGATTTTATTGAACTCAAGCCTTTGGGTCCCCTTCCTCTCTTTGTTCTAGGGTAGATCTCCATAGGTTCTTCCATAGTTGGTCCCTGGAGGTGAGGAAAGGAAAACCACCCCAGCCCTGATCTCCTACAGTGCCCTTTCCCTTCATGCCATTTCCAAAGTCAGGCTTACCCTCTGTAGATCCTGTGCTAACTTGTGTGAAAGACACAGGCTCATGACACTAATTCAGTTTAGCCCACTTCCTACTCCTTGCCAGCACACACTGTATACTAGGTACTTTTATCCTTACATAGGTGGAGTCGGGCACTTTATTTCAGCTGTTGTCACTCTCCTATGACTGATAGTGTGAATGATAATGACCACCACCAAAATGAGTGATGTTTGGCCATCTGAGATTCGATGCGTGTGATTGAGAAATGTCACAGTAGTCAGCTAGGCCAGGAAGGGAGGGATTCCAAATAAGGGGACGTGTGCTGTGCAATGTTCCAGACCAAATGGCAGTCAAAATAGCTCATTCTTTCCTATTCTTTCCAATTTTTCATCCTAACCAGCACTGAGTGTCATTTGCCTCAGACTTAACTGTATTATTTCTTTAATATAATCTCTATATGACTTACACCAAGAGTGGAAATAAATAATTTCTATTAGGAAAAGACTGTTGACCAGACTTTTTTAGTGTGTGTGTTGGTGTGTGTGTGTGTCATCTTCCCCCCCCCCCCCCCCCCCACACCACACACACCACACAAACCACACACACACATCCATACTTAGGTCACCAGACTTGCAGCAAAACACCTTTACCCACTAAGCTATCTGGCAGTTCCAAGCTGTTTTTTTTTTTTTTTTTCTTTTTTTTCTTTTTGTTTCCTCCTCCTTCTTTTTGGGCTTTTCAAGACATGGTTTCTCTGTGACTTTGGAGGCTCTCCTGGAACTAGCTCTTGTAGACCAGGCTGGTCTCGAACTCACAGAGATCCACCTGCCTCTGCCTCTGAGTGCTGGGATCAAAGGTGGTGTGCCACTACCACCTGGCCTAAGCTGATTTTTTAAATAACCATCAGTCCATTCTTGATGAGGATATCTGAATTATAACCACATGTAATTTGTCTTACAGACTCATCTTTCACAAGTCTACCTGTTCGAGAAGAAATGATGGCAAAATACTCAAACCTTTCTTTAGAGAGCCATAATATATCACTGACAGGTAAGTGGTCCCATCTCAAATAGTAAAGTACCAAAGTAAGTTTTTAAAAGGTCTTAAACTCACTCACTGCTTTGGTCTTTCTCAGCTTTGGTTTTCTTTATGGTTTTTCCAGACAGGGTTTCTCTGTGTAGCCCTGGCTGTCCTGGAACTCCTATAGACCAGGCTAGCCTCACAGAGATCCACCCGCCTCTACCTCTCAAGGGCTGGAATTAAAGGTCTGCAACACCACAGCCTGGCCCAGCTTTTTTTTCCAATATGGGAAATGATTACAAACTTTTAAATTGGTAAGAGAGGTCTGTTCGGGTAACAAAACAGCACAATTAGAATCTAAACTCTGTCAGCCTGTTTATTACATTAGTAACTAGTATATTTGTTTCTCGTGGGGCGTTTTTTTTGTTTTTTGTTTTTGTGTTTTTTTGTTTTTTTTTTTTACTGTTTCCCCTGTCTTGAGCTGTTTCTTACTTTGTTTCATGTGACCAGAAAGTGTGTGTGGCAGAATTTCCAAGCCAATGCCAGTGAAATGAGTGTGCTGAGTTTTTTGATAGAACATTAAAAACAAAACAAAACAAAAAAAACCAACTTCATGCAGCTCTTGTTCATTCCCAGATGTTCTCATCCCAGCATTTGGAATTTATTCTTGTGCAAGTCAATTCCATATTCCTGTGTTGTTACTTGCCCTTTGTTTTTGTACATATTCTAGTTGTTGGTTGCCTCTTGGCGATAAGTCAGTTATTTAAGGGGGACTCGGGTGAGAGTCTCAGTTTGCAAATTCTTTGGCCAGGCTGACAGAGTAGATTTCAGGACACAAGTTTCACTAAGCACAGCCTGGTGCCTGGAAATCAAGGATTAACACTCAGGGCCATAACAAGAAATACCTTATTAACTAATATTGTGCTAAGTATTTACCTAGCCTGCAGAAGGTTTAACTCTTAGCTACTCTATCTGATCGTTCAACTGAAACCAGATTCCTGCCCTTGTGAAAGGACTGATTGTTCATGACTGCCCATTGTGTATTTGTTGCCTTGATTTGTGCACACGTTAGTCTGGCCTTTCCCTTCCTTATAACCCCTGCACTTCACTTTGTCCAAGTCTGAACAAGTATCAGTGCATCTTAAGAACTGGTGCCGAGGTGTGCTCATGGCTCCTGTGTACCCTGTTGTTTGTTCACTCTCCCCCTCAGAGTTCCAGCCAGTCTGCCTGTCTTCCCCATAAAAAGAAAGCCTTGTTTGACATTGAGACACTTGAAGACCTTGAGTTTGAAGCTTTTCTTCTGTGGCAACAGTTCTTATGAAATAAAGCCTTTATAAAGGTCTGAATTGGTGTTTATTTAAGAAAAGCAAAGATCTCACATTCATCTTGGAACTCTGCTTCTGCTTGGAACTCCAAGCTGTGGCTCTGTTTTCACAGTGGCCCTTTTGCTTTGGTTGCCATCCTGTCAGAAATTCTCATCTTGGAAACTACATTTACTGGTACATGGATTTTAAATTTGAACCATAGGCATTTTCGTACTGCCAGGACTGTGTTTTGTTTTCTTTAAAGAATGTGTCTCAAAAATTGGTTGATCTCAGACTTCACTTGTCTTACCTTCAAAGTGTTGGTATTAGAGGTATGAGCCACTGTCCCTAACTGCTGCCTAGACTTTGTTTTCCATGAATGATCCATTTTGCCAATAATGATTTCAACATCATCCTTGTTTGTAAATAGTACTCATGGCATCTTCCTATTGTTAGTTTTCTGTTTTATCTTTCCCTCTGGATATTTTGGAAAATGATATTTCTTTTAGGCTAATATGTGTGTGGGGGGGGGGGGGGGGGGTGGGGAGAGAGAGAATATGAATCAAGCATAATACCTTAGTTACAAATCCTGGATCAGAAAGGCAACTTTGGCTGCACTCAATAAATTTACTTAGTGAGAAAGGGAAACATGTGGGCCCTGTGCCTGGGAGAATGAGAAAACATGGCCTTTGGCTTAAAATCAGAACAACAACAACAACAAAATTGGTTGTTTACTTTTTTTCCATAAAAAATGTTTTTGCTTACTTGAGAAACTCATTGACTGTGTGCTGTGTGTATTATTATTATTATTATTATTATTATTATTATTATTATTATTTGTCTTTATAGGTTTTATCCTTTCTAACAATTCTTGGAGGTGAACACTGTTGTTATTTCAATCTGTAGTTGAATACAGAGACATACAAAGAGTGAACTGACCCAAATCCCAAATGGGAATTGGGATTTGAACCCAGGCAGTCTGGCGCCAGAGTCTCTTCTGGGCCAAATAACTTTTTAATGCGAGATTATTCAGTTCTTTTAGCAGTATTGTTAAGACAACTATGCTTGTTTTAAGGTGAATGATATAGTAACTTTGAAGTGATACATTCACAATCTATGAAAATAAGGTCATAGTAAATGCTTTAGCCCCAACTAGGTTAATTTGAGGGACTATGTTTCCTGAACAGCAAGTCTGTGGAAAGTATAATTGATGATACTCAGGAGGGAAAAGTCTCTTCCCCTCTCTGTGTCATCAATGGGCTTTTAAAACTTATCTTTTGATAATGGGCTACTTGGCAGTCTTGCTTTCATTACTGCAATTAGAATGTTTCTATATTGTTACTTTCAATGTTTTCTCTTTTCCTCTGCAAATTGTACTGTTTAGTGTATCAATGTTGTCTTTTAAACAATGAGATGAAAATCAAAACATCAGCTGGCCACTTTCTGGCCACTTTCTTGATCAGCCTGGTGCTGGGTGGCTGAGGTGAGCTTTTACATTGTTGACCCAACCCATGTTGTGTTTACCAGCTGAGGTGTGAGCTGCTGACCTGGCAAAGTCCCCAGGAGGGAAGGAGGAAGCAGAAGCAGAAGTTGGAGGTGCACATATGCTAATTTAGCTGCTGTCAGGTTTGGTCATGTCATTGGTGATGAGGAAATACAGCCTTGTTGCCTAGCCACAGGCAGGCAGGACCTCACGAGTTGTAGAGTCAGGAGAAGAGGAAGGAGTGGGGAGTGGGGGTTGGGGGGAGGTCCTGCACATCTGGTCTCCCAGACTGCTTGCTTCGTGGAAGATCCTGTACTACTTTAATGGCCTTAGGCTGTTTATGATATTTTCTGGATCTAGTCTTTTATGGGTGACATGAAGACGTGATATACAAAGAAGAAAAATGGGAGTGAGCATTAATGTTCCCAGTGAGGGAAAGAGGAAACATGGCTCCACCCCAGCAATACACAGGACAGCCGCAGCAGCAGGCAGCCCTAGGCCTCTGGCTGAGGTCTCAGGAACAGAAATACTGACATCTTTGGACTGGATAGTTCTTTGTTGCATAGGGAAGGCTGTTCGTGGCATGGTAAGATGTGTAGTGGCATCCTAGGCCTTTTATGTTCAAGATGTGAGGTCAATTGTTCGTGGAGGATAAATTTGTCCCTTGCATATAAAAAAGGGTAGTTTTGTGTCTCACCTAGCTTATTGTCACTACAGTGCAATCCCTGAAGCAGGCCAGCTACTCCTGAAGCAATTGGTTTAGTCAAGGAGATGTTGAAGCCCTGTAGGAGTAAACATGTCTGTGCCTTGAAACCAGAGGTAGGGTGAACTTTTGGGGGAACCAGGCTGGCTGCTTGACTTCTGAAGTTATGTCAATAGCCACCTAATGTCACTGTAAAGGGCCCTAGTGATCTGAGTACCATGGATGAAGTCCCACCTCTTTCTCTTTGTTGTTGTTCTTTGAGACAGGGTTTCTCTGTGCAGCCCTGGCTGTCCTGGAACTAGCTCTAGATCAGGCTGGCTCAAAACTCAGATCCGCCTGCCTCTGCCTCCCCAGTGCTGGGATCAAAGGCATGTGCCACCACTGCCTTAAAAGTTCCATCGTAACACTCTCCTGGACCAATTCTCCAGCGCATGGGCCTGTGGGCTGACATCCCACATCCAAGCTAAAGCCCCCTGCAGCTGTTTCAGAACTGCAGGATGGCATGACACGTGATTTAAATCCCACAGCATTGCGAGCAGTTCATAAAGCTTCTCACCAGGAAGGTAGAAGGCAGAGCTAACAGGCACAGGGCATAGCATAAGTAGGGCAGTGCTCAGGGCCAGTCACAGTCGCACCTCATTCCTCCTCCTCTGGTGTTCACATTCTGTCTTTCTTAGAGAACTAAATCAAAAGCCACATCCTCAGGGAAACAGAAGTGCAGATTCTGTGTATCTAGTAGGCATTTATTGCTTTCATTTTGCAATAGTGAGTACATTTTAAACCATCATCTCCAGCAATGTAGTAAATTGAAGATTGTGAGCCCTCCCCTTCTGCCTCTCCTAGACATATCTCATATATAGTAGCTTTTTTCTTAAGTGAATACTCAGGGTTCTGGAAAGAAGACCCCCCCCCTCCCCCGCCCAATTGATGACCAGGACACTTGTGCATTCGTGTTCTCTTGTTTCCTTTTGTTCTGGCCATGATGCTTCAGTTTTTAGAGCCATACAAACACACAACTGTGAACACACACAAGGTAGGAGGAGTAAGTAGAAGCCTTAGAAAGCCGATCCTCCCTCGTGACACACAGTGGAAGATTTGACCTAAGGGAAAGAATATCAGCTGATGGCACAAAGGGAGGACAAGTTGGCTTCTTTATTATTTATGTATTATTTATGATCTAATAAAGCTTGCTTGAAGGATCAGAATGCAAAGCTAGCCACAGCTATAAAAGCTGGGCAGTAGTGGCATACACCTTTAATCCCAGGACTCAGGAGACAGGCAGATGGATCTCTTGGAGTTCAAGGCCACCCAGAGCTACACAGGAGAGTGAATCAGTCTGAAGAAGAAACAGAATTCATGCTGGATAAATCCCAGCACTAGAGGGGTTTATAAAAGTGTTTCAGGGTGCATTCTGAGATTTAGTCTCCAGCCAAGGTGAGGACAGGATCTCCCCAGCCCTTGGTGGGGTACTGGCTGGCTGCTTTACTTTTCTAACCTTCAGCTTGTACTCCAATATCTGTCTCTGAGTTTTTATTATTCG